CAGAAGGTACTTTTTTAAGATTTAAAAGATCAGCTAGAAGCGGCCTAAGCCCTAAAAGACATCTTTAATAGTCGCTTAAGAAGTCAAATCACTAAAATTAAAGCTTGTTTGATTATGTTTTAAACTCAGATAAGACTTTTGGAGAAAAAAATCAGAATCATTTTTTAGAGAACAAGGTGTATCAAGGTGTATCATTAGCGTGTTAACAGCCTTCGGCCTGGCAATCAGTACCACCGTAAGCTCTATCATTGCTGCTGTCAGAGGGGATGGGACTCCGTCTCCTGCTCCTGAACCGGTTCTTTCTAAACCCATGAGGCCGTAGTGCGTGGTACTGTAGCCAGTACTTGTGAGGCAATGGGACAGCCGGCCTTGATTGAACCTGCCAATGGTGGAGGCGAATTGGCTCAGCGAGGGTTAGCTCTCGGCAAAGGATCTACAGCTCACTGAAAGGATTCACGTTTATTTTTTTCTGTAACGTTCGGAACTAGCCTACCCTTTTGGCAGGCTTAACAACTTGGAAACTTCTCGCCCCAACTGCAATTTCAGATTTACGTCTGTCACCATTCTTGTAACTTAATTCGAGTCCCAGTGTAATTTAAAACTTACGCCCGGAGTGGAGTTGAAAAAAATCCAAACCAATCAACGTCGTAAAACCCCGGAGGACTAACAATGCTAACACACTCTCCAGCCTGCAAGAACTCACCAGGGGTACCCTCAGCCGGTGTGTGTAAACGTTGCGTGATTTAACTACATGTATTAAAACCCGTTACTAAAATAGCATTCCCGGGTTATGTTTGAGCGCTTCTAATTATTTTCGTTCTTTCGTCGGGGTTTGTCTTCTATAAACCCTTAAACTTTAACGCAATGCGGCGAGCTTCCAAAGTAATATCTTCTTTTTCTTTAGTCAAAAGCATCATGTCATTGATCATGTTTGCTGCTGCTCTATAAGTCTTTCGATTTTTCTCTCAGAATTTGTTTTTGCGCGTCGAAGTTATTTAGTTTTTGTTGAATGGTATCGCTAAATTCTTCCAGATTTCCTACCTCGTTTAATTCTTTAATAGGTATTATAAATCTAACCGAATGTAAAATACTCTCATCGAGGGCTTTTTTATGGGTGGATCATGGTGGTCTTTGGTTTCATCGGTGGGTCTGCCGTTAAAGTCAGTTTGCGGATGATCTCGAAGAAAAATGTAATAAAGGCATTAAAGTCAACAGAGCCTGAATACAGTTTTGCCTAAACATGCTGATATTATTTTGAGGGACTGTTTCAGCTAAATGACGGAGAGGAAAATAACTAAAAGATAGCAACTATTAGAGACAAATGGCCCCAAAAGAAATGAGTACATGTAATGCCTCTGATATGAAATTTAATAGACTTCCAGGTAATCAACTTTGTTGTAATTCTTAAAATCAGTATAATTGTAAAAAATCAATGATGAAAAAGAGAAATAAAAACAGTACTGAAACCATTATGAAGTCCACTGAATTTGTTTTGTGTTCTTACTAACTGGTATGACTATTGAGTAGTAATTCTCGGGTCGGACACTGGCCGGGAACTTCTGCACAACAGTTCATAGCACAACGGATAAGTTTATCCCATTGCTACGTGTTAAAAATCCCCAACTCACGCCATGCCGCCCCTGAAAATTCATAATTTTTATATTATGACGTACTTCACATTCAAGGATAAAGAAATTCAGCCAGGGCCAGCAAAACCTTCTTGTATCGATCAGATTATTTCCGTAACCATAGTAAGCCGAACGCAAGACCGTCTGCATGTGCACGCCCTCTCTCGTGTAGTGCCCAAGGATTAAGCGGTCAGACCAACGTCCCATCCACCACACGGCGCCACCTACAGTCCATTTCTAAGGATTATCTCGGATCGATGCTCACTTGCGGACCTCATGGTGGGCCAGTCAGTATTTTTCCATGACACCACACAACATGACTCATCGTCTATTTCTTATCATTATGTTTCATCCTGTTGTGCCAAAATTTCATAGAAAAGGTCAATGTGTACTGAATTTTTACCCTACGTACATTTCTTCCATATACATGTTCATCCCATACCAAGGTCACACTAGACTTTCTGACTCTATGGGTCCAGTCCA